CGCAGATTGAACCACCTCATGAGAAATTGGACCAGAATGATATTCGCCAGAGGATGTCCCACCCTGGCTGATTCGTGACTTGTTGGTGCACAACGTACATTGCCGTCATGAGATTGTGAGACAAGTTTGTCGTCACCTCGATGCTTGTGATCGTGATGATGTCTGTCGTCTGCCCGTTTCGACTTGTTCATGTCCATGAGGTAAGTCGCTGCTGATGCCTGTTCCTGCCTAGTTCTGCCTGCTTTCCGACCCCGCTGACTGGCTGGCCCTGCCTGCCCTTCCCACTCACGGATGCCCCAAGTTCCGACCGGAACCCCCCCCCCCCCCCCCCCCCCATCTCACGAACCCATGACCCGGAGATGCTGCGTGCGCACTTATCACAGAGTTGTAATAGCTGAGTAAACACAGGTGTGGATTCCCCGAAAGAGCACGGATGGGGAAGATTGGCATTCCCAGGGCAAGAGAGGCAGCAAAAAAAAAAAAAAAAAAAAAAAAAGAAGAGATGGTGTGACGCTAGGAGGAGCCCCAACCCAGGTCTGGATCTGCACCTTGTCATCATTCTCACTATACCTAATTGTTCCCTTTGGGCCTTTGGAGGGAGACCGGGATTCGTTCATGAAGGATGTTGGTCGGTCGGTTCGCCCTGTACTCTCTTCTTTAATCTAAACCCTCTCGATATGTTTCTGGGCACAGGCACGGGGCAGAAAAGAAGGGGTTGCAACAAAAGTTACACGTCACATCACGGGATACTGACACCAAGACGTAATGGGAAAAGCTCGCTCGACAAGAAAACCTCGTAGCCCGGCGGGCGGCGCGGGCGACAGCGGCGCCACCCGCACCCAAGGCGTTCATCCAAACATTCACACTACTTCCTTGTTCCTTAATTCTTGTTGTTCCTTCCCTCGTGATGCGGATAGACAAGGCAGGATAAGTGGATGACGGGGTCCAGTATGTAAGAGAAGCAATCATGCAAAGAACGGAGGCGGACTTTGCCTCTTCCTCTAAAGAACAGGGAAGGGTGGGAGAATCTCCAGGATGGATCATGGCCCATGATGCTCATGGGTATCGTGGATACCATGGGTACGCCCGAGACGCGCCTCCTTCGAATCCTCTTCCGGATGGGGCCCCTTCCTCTTCTCCATCTCGCCTCTCGAATCCCGGTCTCGTCACATTTACGGATACAACGACTCAGACCCCACGAGTCATTACCCATACTCTATAGGAATTCTACGAATCACTTCGGGGTCTCCGTATTGTACTCGCATCAACGAAGCGCAAAACGGCGAACCTGGTGGGCGGATGGGGTGAAAGGAGCTCTCATGGCTAGCAATGACGGCGATGGTGACGGCGGCGCTTGGATGGGTGTATGGGCGTTCGCTTATATGGCCACACCAACAAGCGGTCGCCAAACTCGTTCCTGATTCGCGGGTTTGCTCACGCTCTGCGCGTGAAGACGCCAAGCCGCGTCTCTTTGGCTTGTCTGGATCCAACATGCGCACACGCATAACGTGTGGCACACCCAGTCTCGAATTTCTCTACTGCAGAGACAAACGAAATGAAGGAAAAGTGCCTTACGGGTCGCAGGTAACGAAGGGTGTGCCGCTACCCCCGAGGCCCGAGAAACGCCGGGGTGCAGCTACCAGGTAGATGGAGCGTTGGCCGCGGTTGCGAAGGGGGAAAGAAAAAGAAAAAGTCCCGCCGAAAAGGCCGCTTGGACCGGCCGGCTCGAGGTGTCCAATCATGGCCGCGTTCAACGTCGACCGATGAGCACAGCCAGTTCTGCGCCTTTTCCTTGATATGAGTCCGTTGCTGGTGAAGGATGGTTTCCCAGTAGGCGCAATTGCCGAGCACCGTGAAGTGCTGCAGCGTAGAATCCCAATTCCCAAGCACGGATAGAGGAAAATATGAAGAAGAAGAAGAAGAAGAAAGGGGGGGGGGGGAGGGTCCGATGGATTTCTCATCATGCTTGTTGGTCTCGGGTCGTACACGAACCCGGTCAACGGGCCAAGGGAGCCGGAGCCGGTGAACGAGGGCCCTAACAAGAGCCTTGAGCCGGGAATGCGGAAAGGAAAGGATTGTAGGTCGTGAAATTAGTAACGATAGCTCAGAGCAAAGAGATTGAATAGATGGAAAACGGAGCAATAGACTTAAGTGTCCACGATGAGGCAGTTCTTGCGCGTTGTCGAACCAACACTGTCCCTAGGCTCCTCATCTGTTCTTGATGAAAGCCCAAGGGCAGCATCAATGAGCCAGTCGCAAGGGATGGAACCTCAAGCTGATGCGGGACACGGACACAGCGCTAAAACTTCGAACCGTGGGCCCCAAAGATCGATCATGACAGGGGGCTACCCTGCCCCGAGCTTGGTATGGAGGAGGCATTGGGCAGAGACTTGAGGTTTGCAGATGGGGGCGAAGGATTGCCGCAAGCTGGGTTGCTGCTGAGAGCCTGGGCAGCTCTCCATTCCTCATAAACCGGCCATCTAGGCATGGATGGGCCCATGCAGGGGGATTAAGCGGCCAACCGTGCCACCCTCGTTATTCGTTCAACCGCTGGCGGCCGGCTTGCGGACTGGATTCCTCTTCCCGTCGCTGATTGTGGCTCGGCCTGGCGAGCGAACCCAGGTGCCGTTTACTGGCTTCATCGATTCTTGAGAAGGGTGTGAATTCTGGTGAGGTGATAGGGAGACAGTAGTGTGGTAGCGTCACAAGTATACCTGCTGCAAGTGGACGGCGCGGTTGGTCTCGTTTAACGAGCGGAAGATGAAGTCCAATGTGCAGCACTGCGGCACAATCAAAGAGGTTTATGAACTTTTTGAACATCCATGATTGGTGTTATGCAGGATTGAAGCGATGTGCATAGCCGCCGAAGATCAAGCGGGCGGGCGCGATGGGCCTGTCAGCAATGCTAGCCCGTTCTACGCCCCCAAGGCACATGGAGGAATTGGGAAGGGAGGGGTGCCCCAGTGCTGGCCGATGATCCGCAACAAGCGGAAAAGTGCTGGCTGGCCAAGTGAAGATGAGCAATGCCCCCCGGTCACCTCGTCTGTATGTAGCCGTGGTGGTGTCACTGCTTTACCTTGACATGAAGGAAACGGCATGGGAGTCTGTGTTTGTGTCATGCTTCCTGCGCACAAAGACTTGCGGTTGCGGGCCGAAGACATGAGCGAGGACATCGGAAAGGCGAAAAGAGAGAAAGAGGGAAAACAGACGTAGCAAACTTGTCAGCTACTGTTCTCGTGATGGACTACCTCGATGTGGTTGGACAAACTGTTTCTTTGCTGTTGTCTTAGCCGTCTGCCAAACATCAGCTTTGATATATCCAGGTTGTTGTTTAAACCAGAAACGGACCGTTTTCTTTGCCTTATGCCTCGACCGCGAGCTGGCCAGTGCGAAAGGGATGGGCATCCGCCACGCGTACCACGGTACAAGTGTCCCCATCGAAAAGCAGGGACAACTCTATGTACGGTGGCTCGCAGTCTTGTGCCAACTCCACTTTCCGGTGCAAAGGTCTGTCGATTTGACGAAAGGAGGCAGATCGGGAAACCCATTCGCATCGCCGGTCAGCCATATTGCTTTGCTAACCTGGACCGCCCTTGGAAGCTCAGCTTACCGACCTGGCGTGGGGTCCCTGGCCAGAGTCGAAATGTCAGTGAAGGACGATGGTGGAAGTGCGAGGGGAAGTCGCTGTTTGGCAAGAACTAGGGACCAACGTCGTCTGCGTCGCGATGCTGCGTCGCGATGCTGCGTCGCGATGCTGCGTTGCTATGACGCGGGAATGAGACCACATCAAGCCCCTTCTTTAGGGGGTGTCCACGGTTGTGCAGGGTTGCAAACAGTAACAATATAGACATTCACTGCCATGCCGCGTGTCAAGGCCGGGTACTGCAGAAAATTGAGGTTGAGGGGGTTGTGAGAGGCCGGAAACGTGTCCATGGAAGAGAGAGGGCGTGCCTGTGTCCGTCCGATGTCGTACGGCGCATGTCAAGCAAGGGATGCGGTGCGTTACGATGAAGTAGGTCGCGTCTGTGATGCCGGCAGAACACAAGCATAAAGTAGAGTTCGTGCATGCGTGACCTTCTATACTTGACATATCTGCCCTCGCTCCGGGACTCAGCCTGTCTGCCCACTTCCTGAAGTGTGACACCAAGTCGTGCCTGGCGAGTTCAGAGCAAGGTACGGGAGTAAGGTATTCATAGCTGCTGTTTCGCATGTCAGCTCCTCGAAAGTGTAGCGGGAGCAGTTGAAGTAGCGTCAATGTCTACCTTACATTGGGCCTGCTAGTTCTGGCTCTCGCTCAAGTCTCCGAGAAACGATATGTTGGGTCGGATATGAGGGCGAGGGTTTCGAGGTGGAAACTACGAAAGGATGTCTGGCAAACTAGTTGCAATTATCCTCCCAAAGACCTGTTCTCTGGGCCCTCGACGCCAGGTAGCTGGAGCGAAGTTGGCAGGGGCGAGAAGAAGAGGGGGGCATTCAATGAGACGTGATGCTTTCCTGTCCCCGGTCGTCGGTCGTGGTGACTTCATCCGCAGCTTGGACTGCTCCAGTGATCCTGTGTGATTGCCCTGCCAAGATGAAAAGACAAGGTCAGGGCTGCCTAGATGTAGGTAAGGCAGGGCAGGGCAAGGTTTTGGAGAGGAAGGTCGCAGTGTACGTATATTTCCTCCCCTGCTTAGCATGGGGGAAGGGGAAGGGGAATGAGATTTGTGTGCGCATGCATGGAGGAGTAACAGTGAAATATGTGTAAAAGGGAGAGAAAGAGAGAGAGAGAGAGAGAAGAGGAGACAGAAAGACAGGCCAATGCAAGTGCAAGTACTCCGTATAATTGTCTATGGTGGCCCTGCGATGGATTCGGATGAGGTGCAGAGCAGGTACCTTAGGGTATGGAGGCAGGAGCTGGGAAGGTAGGAGCTAGGAAGATGGGAGCTAAGAAGGTAGGACCTGAGCTAGGAAGACGGAAAGAGGTGTCAATCTCCCGACCCACTTCCGGACACGGATGACAGGGGAGGTACGCACGTACCTTAGCTTAGTACCTGGCAGGAGCGCCAGAGGCTCCTACCCTGGTCCTGTCCTCATGCAGCTCCTTCTCTCCTCCTCTCCACCTCATCTCATCTTTTTGTTTCTGTGCCGCCGTCTCCTTAACTTTCTCTTCTTCATCCATCATCTTCCTCCTGTTCTCGCCTTGTCCTGCCGTTGCCCACCTCACCTCGCTTCTCCTTGCCTTGTCTCAGGACGCTCTCCATCTCGTCAATATACGACGCATTCGCCCGCCGTAGTTTGGGGCACGCCGCGCGCATTGAATGTAAAGAAGGGCGGGTTACATCCGGCGAGAGCGTCCTATCTCGTCCTATTCTGCGGTGCGTTGCCTTGGCCCGGTCCAGGATCACGAGGTGTACGAAGTACTGTGTGCGGATACATCATACTCCTGTGCCTACTCCTGCGCACAGAAGACCGCCGAAATACCTCGCCTTCGCTGAATTTCAGTTTCCCTATCGAGCTTTCGTCTCAGTCGTAGTCTCGGTTGCTCACAGCATCTTGGTACCCGGAACGCCTGACCGGGCCGGTGTGTGTTTCCGCTGGCTTCGTCACACAGATATCCTTACTGACATGCCCATGAACCAGGGTTAGGTAGGAAGGAGGCATCTCATCTACCAAGTACTCCATATCTCTCTCTCTCTCTCTCCGTCTTTGCCCACACTCACAATGGAAGGTTGACGTTAGTCTCCGCCGTTACGCTAACGTAGCGTGGCGTTGCATTGGCCCAAGCTTGATGGCAAGGTGTCTCGTTTTCTCCACGTCAGTCTGCCCTACCGCTAGCTTGCGCGTTGGCTTATATTGTCACTCATTCTTCTCGAGTGGCTTTCCGCTGTCAACCTAGCGTCACTGTATTTCTCCCTCTTTCGCATTTACGACATTCTTGTTCAGGTCCTCTTTTATTTCATTCTTCTTCTCTTCCTTTTCTTGTCTCATGGTGGCTGTCGCTAATTTGCTATCTTTAGTTTCCACCCCTGTTCCCTTCCCCTCCCAAATTTTTTTTTTTTTCTAACTCGAAATTTCCGTGCTCTCAGCAAGCAGTACTCGCAGCTGCCATTGATCACCTTTGTTTTCTGCGAAAAATGATTTGGGGGAAAAAAAAGTGGTGTGCAGTCCTCGACTCTGTTCCGAGGCAACTAGACAATTTGTCGCTTGTCGCGCGTATGCTTCGCGTCAATAGATTCGCGTCCAAACTTGAACTACTCGCTTGCCATCACATGACGCAATGCTTATGCTGGGTCGTGGGAATCCTACCCGCTACGCGCCGTAACCACCGCCTTCTATTTCCAGCCTCATGCTGGTTTGGGGCGTCTTTTGTGGCTTTTCTGGGGGTTTCACCCTTCCTTCTCGAACAACCTTATGAATGCCGTTGGAGAACAATCAAGTGCTTGCCAGGCGCGGTTTCTGAGGCGAAGTATTGTTTGTCTTGTTAGCCACAAATTCATCTGTGTGTGTATGTGTGTGTGTGTGTGTGTGTGTGTGTGTGTGTGTGCAAGTCATTCGCCTCTTCCGGAAACCGACAGGGGGGCGACATCTCTCATGAGGTCAATTCCACCACCCGGTTAAATGCTGCTGTCCGTCAGACAAGGCAACGTGCTTTCGCAGGCGGACCGCTCCCGTGTGTCGACTGCCGTATAACACGTCAACTTTCTTCTTTTTTTGACAGGTGAGTGAAGTCTCCAGCAGGCCAAACTTTCGGTCGCATGTCGTTATATTTTGCCGCCTCAGCCCCATTTTGAAACCATGTCTCGGGGTCCAAAGGCGTTGTCCTAAAAAATAAAAATACGAATGGACGGGATGCTTGAGTGCGGCCCGACATCAAATGCAAGTATCCCGAATGTGGCTTGACAATGACAGGGGACGCGGCCGGACCTCTCAGAAAATTTTGAGCATGCCAATTTGCTTCCTTGGAATACTCGGCAGAGAAAAGTCTTTCAAAGTGCCTTGTTTTGCATAACATCAACAGCCAAATAATCAATATTGGCTTGCATATCTAGGCATCAAATGACGAGGCGCGAGAAATAGAGTTCAAATGATTGAATTGATACCTCCACAAAGAGGAGCTATTGACAGGGAGAGTGTTCGTGAGGGTCGGGACGGCCGACCTGGTGAACTGAATGGCTGCTTCAGGCAGTCTAACAAAATCCGCATGCGATACCCCGTCATCGTAGGTTGCTAAGAAGGAAACAAGAAAAGGTTGAATGAATAAACCAGCGTGCTGATGAGTGAAATAATGAAGACCAGATTGTAGTCTCCCAAAGTTCTATTCTGCTGGAGTCGTTGGCAATGATAATACCATAGAAGAAAAGTCGGAATGGAAGGCGTGGGCCTCATCATTGGAATGAGCCTGTGAGAAAGAAGCTATTCATAGTCTTCTCTCCCTCGGCTTGATGTCTACTTTTAGGCCCTCGTCGAATCTAATTTCCAAGAGGCCGTTAGTTGGCATCTCACCGAGTGATGAGGATGTAACGGACCTACGATTTCCCTTGCTTCTGGCAGTTGAAGCAGGTGCCATCTTGGCTTTGCGGCTTGTCTACGACGCCTCCGCAATGGCCGTGAGAGCTGCATGCATATACAGGCCTTGTCTCGGTGCAGCCGCAACCCCATGTGATGATGACTTTGGAGCACATTTTTGCTGAAAAAGGAGTCTTGTTCGTGGAACGAAAAGGAAGGCTTGAGGCTGTTGTGTGGAGGTCTCTTGAGCCGCGAGCGGTGGACTCTCAAGTGAGGTGTTGTTTCTTCGTATGAGGCTCGATAGGGGCGGGCGTGAAAGACTTGTATTGCAACAAGCAAGTAAGACTCAGGCTTGCTTTTTAGAGATGACTTGCAAGTGTGATAGTTTCGTGTTGTGTAGTTGTTGTACTGGCTGGATGAAGAGTGTATTCTTCTGTAAGCTTAAGACGGGAAATGTCGTCTGTCTTATATATCGTCGTGACACAAGCTCAAGACTGGCTATTGGCTTGAAATCGACTGTCGGGAGTGGGCTGACTTGTTTGCCATCGTCAAATCTGCCAGCCAAGCGAGGGAGGGCCAACGGACAGCTATCACACCGGTGATGCCAAATGGAAGTAGACGCAGCTTGGCTGTTGGTTGTTTGCCAACGCGTCAAAGGTTCTCTGTTCAGGTGTTGGAAGCTGCCAGTCGGGAGATGTTGGTGCGTCAAGCGTCTGTCTGGCAAGTCTTCAAGTTGAAGCAGGGAGGACTGTAACCTGGTGGAGGGGAATAATGTGGAAGATGCAACGGGTCATGAGAATGGTTTGTACCTTGCAAGTCGATGTACCTGGGAGAGATGCTGGCTGCGGGTGCGGACCGGGCAGATGGGTTGTTTGATCCGCCCCTTTGCAGGAGGTGGTCGACAAGCTGCCTGGTTGTGGAGATGTTTTGGCGGCCGTGGAGAAACCAGCCTAATTCGACTCAGCCCAGGCCGTTGGCTCTCCCGCACAGGGCTAACAAGCAGCCGTGTACTCCCAACGCACAACGGTGCAATGGTTGGCCGACTGGGTGAAAGATTCTAGCCTGTCTTTTTGCCCTTTTGATAAGTCGTACGCTAGTTCGAAATGAGACGTGATAGCCGGGTACTGTCCCGCCTCGTTGTGTTGGTAAGACCAGGGTATCACGCAGGCGGCCTTTCTGGAAGACAATGGGTGTTGTTGGATGTGATATCCACCGAGAACGAAAGAGCCCCCAATATGCACCTCAGAGGCGCAGTACAGCCAAAGTTGGGTCTGTTGACGCAATGTCTCGTTTTTCTGGTGTTCCGGGTCGAGTGCTGTATGGGCGACGCGTGACCCAAGATGTTGGTTTAGACGATTGCCTTGGTGAGCCGGTTCAACGTCTGGTAGGGGGTTTCTCAAGAGTCCTCAGTTGTGAGCTGCCAAGGCACGGCAATGAAGTCCAAGTGTTGTTTCTGGAGATGTTGAAAGAGGAGGAAGAAAGAAGAAGCGAGAGAGAGGGAGAGAGAGGGAGAGAGAGGGAGAGAGAGGGAGAGAGAGGGAGAGAGAAAGATAGAAGACGGATGTCCTCAGCCGCCCCGCCCGGTTCAATGACTGACTGGTGACGGGAATTCGGGGCAGGGTAGGGCAGGTAGGTGCACCTCTCGTGTGTTCCCATTGCCGCATGGCGCCCACTGGCCACACTTTCTATTGGGGAACGTGGGAACACAGAACGACGGCCACTTCGACCGGGGATAGCTTGGCGTGGCAGCAGCGGCCTGGAGTATGTATGCTTTGTGCAGGGCCTACTGGTGCCGTACCGTATGGTCAGCTCCCTCAGCGTAGGGCAAGCATAAGTGCGTACAAAGAATGGGTGACCCATGTCCCTGTCTTGAGTTGTGATTGTCCTCGAACTGATGGTGTCGGGAGACCCCTCGTGGGCATTTCCTAGTGCGTCCCAAACCGACTTTACTGTCAAGCGTAGAGATGGGCCGCTGTGTTGAGTGGATCGTTCAGACGATGTCGCACATGAGCGATCCGCGTCAAGCCCTGTTTATTGGCCTAGTTTGGGCAAGACCGTTCCGTTGATGGCGTCCTTTGTACCCGTCAGAGCTATCTTCAGTCTATTCCTCAATGCGCTGCCGACTCTCTTGGCACTTTGCTTTGGTTGTATTGGCGAACAGGTAGACCGCTCGCGGATTTGACTCTCCCTGCCGGAGTTATTCTGGCCCACTGAGGCCAATGCTACGGCAAGGAAGACGTTAGATTGAACATCGACTCTTCCAGGCACGAGCACCCCAATACAATGACGGAGCCGCAACACAGACAGGCGTAAAGCCACTGAGATGCTCCTCCGCTCCGAGTTGGAACGGCGGAGAGTGCAAGTTGGGGGTCATAGTAAGCATGCTGATGGGGCAGCGGGCCAGACGGCAGCGTCATGGAAACGTTGCAGTGGAAAAACGGCCGCTCCCAAGCGAAGTGTTTGATTATGCTCCCGTCTAGCTACATCGAAAACTTGACCAAAGAAGCAGAGACCAAAGCAGTGAGTAGAAGGCCGATCGGGCTGTCGGTCGACGTACTCATCGATATCCGCATCAATGTCCCTGGCCAGATTGCCAACCCTGCTTCATCCGAGTCCATGTACAGGCCTAGGTCCAGGTCCAGGTTCAAGTTCGGGTCCTGGGATAGATAGGCATAGGGTTCCTCAGGCGGAACGGGGTCAACGTGGAGTACTAAAGGTTGGTAGGCGGCACCGTCCCTTCCACTAAGACGTATCCGTATGCTTGTGCTAAACCCTAGACGAACCATCGTGTTCATGGCGATTCAACGACAGCAAAATTGTGAAAACCGGACGGTCCCCCAGACCAGAGCGGGCGCTGGAACAGCTCACAGTGACAGTGGTAGGGCGACTGCTATGATTGACCAGGGGTTCACATAAAAGAGTGGAGTCGACATCTGAGGCGTAGCTTTTGCAAGACGAAGATGCCAAGAGGAAAGGTCGTCACGTCCTTCATCTTCCCATGTTCATGTTCGTCCATGTGGAGGACAGAATACGCCACATAGATCTATGGCCAAGACCAGGACAGCCTAACGAGGTTCGGGAATGGGCCGGCTGAGGGTAGTAGCGGGCGAAATTCGGCACGGTTGGGGTCGCCAGGCTTGTCCGTTGGGGTGTGATGTGAGAGTGCAGGGGCGAAGGATGGCTCAAAGGGATCGATTGTGAAGTGTCCGTCTGAAGGTGTCGGGAGTGTCCTAAAGCATGTAGCGAAGGATGGCAAGGGCGAGGCGAGTGCAAGTCCGAAGCGCGATGCTTTCGAGGAGGAGGAGGAGGAACCTTGTGCAGATGAGATGCAGAGAGGGAGGGCATGCCCGCCGTCAGGGCCCGAGGAAGCTAAGCCAGCCATAAACGTGGCCAGCAACAGTGTCCGAAAGAGCCCGTTGGCTTGATCGGGGGGCACAAGGCGTTCCCTGGGTCGCGGTTGGCAAGGGATGAAAAACCACTGACCGGGTTGGGTTGATTAACTTGGGCATGTTGGGTTAGGTTGGGACGTGTGGTGTATCCGTCTGTGTGGGAGGGAGAAAGGAGGAGCAAAGAGCAGACGGGAGAGCAGGCGAGATGAAAGCTTCCAACTTGGGACTGCTGACGCACTGTATCGTTGATGAGAAAGTACACTCATGACACGGTGCGAATACTACAAGAGGCATAAATTGGGTGTTGGTTGGGACTGACCGACTGGACAAGGAAATAAGTGACACATCTGGGCAATTGCATCTGTGAAATGACCTCGATGTAATTTTGTTGAATTTTCCTTTTTCTTTCCTCAAGCTCTCTCTCGTCTGCTCTTCTGATTCCTCCTTCTCTCGTCACTCTCTGCAACCTCCAAATCTTGCTTGTCGTCCCTGTCCTCTCGCCTGCCACTTCCTCTCTCTCATCGCTAACAACAGTGATATCATTTGCTGTCTTCCTCAAGCTGCCATCGACCTACCATTTGGAATGATCCACACTACATCCCAACAGCAAAGTTTTGCAAACACAATGAGCTCCATGTCTATGCCTTGCCTCTGTCTCTCCCGCGTTTCCCCCTTACCTCTCTGCCCCTTTCCTCTCTCAAGTTCGATCTTTCCTTCGTCCTCAGCTTCTCCTGCATGGTTTGTCGTTGAATTTTGGCAAAAAGAAAAAAAAAAAAGGTACGTATCCTGTTCTTTTCTCTTTGTGTTTGAGGCGGTTGAGAATTGTGTAGGTTTCTTGCGTCGGAGAATGCAAGCCACCATCAAATGAAGAACGCTAGGGAACAACTTAACCTTTTGGAGATCAAGGGCTCGACCATCTAGTTGAAGTCATCGCACCAAAGTCTCCAGCTAGTCGGATTAGCTATACGCTACTTTAGTGCACCTCGACATACGTCCGTATGCTAAATTGACCAACTCGCTCTCCGTAGACTAAGCTGCCTCGACTTATCCTTCAGGGTTCTTCGAGTCTAACCCTCATCAATTACCCTGCTGGCTTGGAACTAGCTACTACAATACGGTCGTTGGTGCAGTGTCGACTGTCCGCTCGGCCTGCAAAAGACAAGCTTACCGTAGGGCTTGACGGCTATTCGAGCAGTTTTCGCTCCATTTCCGATGCCAACGACCCCCCCCCCCCCCCCTTTCTTTTTTTTTTTGTCAAACGTGGCTTGCAAGAATCATACACACCATCATGCCTCATCACTCATCCGTCTTCTGCGCTTTTCGGAAAGCGTCAAGGGACTCTTCATCGGCGAGGCGTGCTGATGCAACAGATCCTCATCGTCAACGGCGTCTCACCCTAAGGCAAAATGCGACATAGTCGCAACGGTGGCGCCTCCCACCTCCAAGTCCGAGCCGGCAAAGTACCTCGACGCTGCAAGCTTCACCCTCTTTCTCGTAAATCGAACCATTAATGCCTGCTCCTGCGTCCCGGGCAGACCGAGGTGAGGGGGTGCGCTCGTCCACCTAGTCTCCTTCGTGGTCTGGAGGCGAACATCTTAGCAAACCATCGCCGAGGAAGAGGAGCCACATTCTCGCAGATGTCATGTATCTGTAGTGCTAACTCCATCATCTCTATCTGAGCCCCGAGCAGGATCTGCTTCACCGCAAGACCTTCGGGCCCACCGTCGTGGTAGTGTATTGGTTCAAGTGCTGAGGTCCCAACTTGCTAATACATTACCACCGGGCTGTACAAGATTCCAACACACACCGCAGTGCCTTCATGCGGCCTCGTGTGCGGCCTATCATTACCGACAGTCTGACTAGGCAAGCTTCTTCGAACACCCCAACGCTCCTTGTGCCCGCAGCACACCTCACATAGCCATCTGGTCTGCCAATCATCCCGAACAATGGGGTACCGCACCCCCTGGTCCCGGTCGCCTCACTTCCATCAATGTTCGACGGATTGCCGTCTTCCTATTGAGCCAAGGAAACTTCCCCATTGGGACTGTCACTTGTGGGAAGCCAAGTGGTCAATCCAGATACATCGATTCCGAGGCGGCGAAGCAGACCTCGTCCTTCCTTTTAATATCCACCTAGAAATATGACATCTCAGGCCAGGAGCTCTCTTATTTCCCAGAAACTCGTCGCAGCCCAACGAGCTCATATTCGGACTAAACCCTGTCCGGTTGGCCGCTACATTTGGACTTGTTTGTTATGTAATCTGGATGACGGATTTGAGGCCTGGTAAGCTGCGGGTCATCTTGACGGGAATTTGACATCTCACTGAAGCAGTTTCTGCATCAACTCAAATACTTCCAGCTTGCGCTCCTTTGAACAAGGGGCAGGCATTTGTCACTGCCAGGCCATGAGACGGACATCGGGACGACTTGACAACCGAGTGCCAGTGCCTTCGACACGCATATCTCTCACGTCCTTGACTACATCAGGAAAGGGCAAGATGTCATCCCATCACTTCAAGGGCGAGCTTCACAACTTCTCCTTTAGGACTTGAAAAGCAGCTACAGGGGTAAGTTCGCGAATTATTGCACATCTGCATATACTTTTTGTCAGGCCTCGTTCAAGACTTGTATCGAGTTGAGTGTGGGCAAGCGGTGCCAACATCCCTGCGCGAGTGAGCATGCAGGTGGCGGCTGGGCAGAGCTCGTCTATGATTGCAGATGCCGCCATTCACAACCAACTAGGACATTGTCGCGGTATGAGAGCAAGAGGACACCATCAGGCGCCCTTGTCGACCGTTCCAACAGGTTCATCGCGGGAAAATGAGCAGAATGCCCCACGAAGTCGAGCATGGCGCAGATGTTGTTGTTGTTGGACTATCCCTCGACGAAGCGGGCGAGGTGTGATTGAGTCGCATGCCAGCCAATCACGATTTCGAACACCCCTGTTATAAGCGCCTCGTGGGACTCGCGGCTTGGCCCGACTCGACCGACGACCACTCATTCTTCCGGTAGCCGCCCACGACGGCGGCTCAAGTTCACTAGCGTTCGGCCAGACTTATACGCTTTTTGCTGCAAGAATCGACCATTTTTCAACTTCTTGCCAGCGGCACCGGCGAATCTCACGCGGAAAGCGTACCCTTCCCACTGCTGCGGATGGTCAAGTTGCAACGCAATACTTCGAAAGCGGTCACTCGACAAGGGTACTTGGGTGTCTTCTCGACAGGACAAGATGGAGGGAAGATCAGGAAAGATCAGGAAAGGTCAAGGGCTCCGTAGGTCTTGATCAGGCATGCGAGCATGGCTCAGATGACATCTGCACCTCGTCGGTGCCCGTCACCAACCGAATGCCATGAGCTAGGCACCAGGAGCCTAGCGTTGAGAAGCATATGCGGAACGACCTTTCCGTAGGAGACGGACTGCGGAAGTTGTAGCGGTCAGACACGTTCTATGGGCCATTGATCCCGATGGAAATTACCTCGATTCTCCTGCCCCCTATCCGTACCAAGACCACATCAACATGGTACTAGCCTTGATCAAGGGTGGATATCATTCATCACAGCCCACGAATGGATATACCTCTCCCCCTGGCGAAGGTTTCCACACACCTTCTAAGAGCGGAAAGATAGCTGGACTGCCACCATACCCTGGGACGATTCTTGCGAAGTCCCTTTCTTCGTACAGTACTTTGGCCATCCACAAGCAACTTTCGCATCATGTGTCCACTAATGCAAGTTGGGATCACCCAGACTGCGGCGCATTTGTGACGAAGATTTGAGGGGAAAAGCAGCAGCAGGCAGTGAGATGCCTCCTCGTGTTGGTTGCAACACTTGCTCTTCTCATGCAACGTCTCGATGCTTCCTTCCCATCACCGCTTTTTGCACACGCCATACACGCCATACACACCACCACAGACCATGCCGTACTACCTCACGCACCGCAATCACCTCCCCCTCCACGCCAGGGTTCACGATGAGTTCTGCGGGCGGCCCGCCGGTCGCAGACGAGGCGGGCTTCACCAACCTCCTCCGCCAACTACCTTTGATGGCTTGGCTTGAACCTCGATCGAGAAGCGGAGTCACGGCCGGTGACTTTGGTGAATCCTGGCTCTCTTGCTCTGGTACGACGAGCCTTGTGGGAACACCCCCTCAGAGATTGCAGAAAGATATTGCGCAACGGATTGGACCTCTTGGGGAAATGATTTGCCTTCCTGAGCTACGGTCGAAGAGGGAAAGGACACGTTTGCGGAAGAGGGTGTGAGAGGGCATTCGGCCCAGGCGGGAGAAGAGAGACGAGGAGGAGGAAGGGAAGCGAGACATTGGTTTGCCCGAGGAAGGTTTGCCAAAGTCTGAGGCCAATGTCGGCATAGTCTTTATCTCCAAGACCCGGGCTGCGTTTGAACGCAGCAGAGAACAAGGCATTATCCAGAAAAGCGTCTTGTTTGAAATACGTCAGTGTTTGTCCCCCTTATTGTGAAAAGAAAGTCTGGCAAACAGGGTGAGCGAGTGAGTCAAACGAGGTGACGTCTATCCGTCGATGACGGACCAGAAATGGTATGGAAAACTCTCGGTTTCGTTTCTTTTCATCTCGCAGAAGATAGAATGTCGTTGTGTATTAGTTCCCTTCCGCGCTCCCTTCCGCGCTCCCTTCCTCTCCTTTTCCTTTTCATTCTTTGCTCCTCCTTTTCTCCCTTTCTTTTCGAAAAGTCCGCGTCTGCCCAAGCGGGATGAGAGTATCATCAAGACTGCCAGGAAGAAACGTTGAAGTCAAACTTGATTTGCGGGGAGCGAAACAACGCCGAACAATGAGCAAGGCACTCAGTGGACTGCACCCCGCGGAAGGATCAAAACGCTGTCTTAGAGAATATGCAAGCAAAGGCGATCTCAGGATTCTGCCTCGTTCCCTCCCGAAATGCCCGTTGAATCCTACGAACTAGTACGCCACATGGCTGAAGGGGCAAAGATAAAGACACAGCCAAAGGATTTGAAAATCCCGCGCCGCGCCGCGCCGCGCCTTGCCGTGCTACGTACGGCGCGTGTGCTTTCCCGCCGGGGCACAGCAGGAACCAACGGGCGGGTCAAGCCAGTGGCACGGCGGCGGGCAGCGGGCCGGCTAGTCTCGGGGCGTGGTGTCCCACTTTGCCGCAAACTGTTGGCCGGCCGAGTGCGAGCTAAGGTGTATCTACCTTGGTATGATGAGGTTGGATGCCCTGTACCGAGGTCAAGGGGGAAGACTGATGTAAGGTAGGTGGTGTAGGTATTCGTCCCTACCTCACCGTGGCTACTTACCTCAAGGTAGGTACCTACCATATGCGGGGGCAGGAGAGGGTGTTGCCGAAGGTTCGCGGATGCGGAAGGATGAGGAAAGTCACGGCGCTGAACGTCCCCGGAGTCCCCCGCGTTTTCCCCCCTTCTCCACCTCGGCGTCGCACCCGAAGAGGCACCCCATCCAGTGATGTGGGTTTCCTTTTCCCCGGATCATGAGATGGGAAATTGTGGTCGGGTTGTTCTTGCGATGGTGTGGTCTGGGTCATTCCGTTTGTTGTTGGCAGTTGCCTTCCTATGGGACTTGGGAAGTTGGAAGGAAGGGAAGGCCCCAGCGCCGGTTCTCGTGGTCCTTCCGATAAATCCTCTTGCCGTCCCCGACGCGGCCAATGAGGAGCCACCTGCCGCCCCGGCACCCGGGGGCAAGCAACCTTGGCCCCCTTCCATTCGGCTTCCCTTTTGTTTTTGTTTTTTTTTACCTTTTCGAACGACGTTGGAGTATAGGAAAGAGCCTCAATTGGGGCCGACCGAGGTTCTCCACTTTCCCCGGACATTTCGAGGTATCTTGATATCAGATCTGGTGATGGGGGAGGGCATTCACAACCAACCTTCATTATCTTTTTCGTTGCGGCAAGCACTTCACGCTTGTCCCCACGCCCACTCACGACCTGGAGTATCCACACTCTGCACCAACCCCCTGCGCCTTTCTGCTTTATTTATCTTTATTTCTTATCCAGCAAGTTTGCTTTTCTTTTTCTTTTCGCGGCGGCGGCGGCGGCGGCGGGTGTCTCGCGTCTTCTCAAGCGCACCAACCCCACGTCAGCTGCGGGTAAGGAACCGACTTGAGCATTTCTCTCATCACAGATTCTCCAGCCCTGATGTCGCGACATGGAGCTCAGCCAATTGAGGGCCCACGTGCACAACGTTCCCGTTTTGAAAACCTTTAGAGATTCAGAATAGGTAGGTCCGTCTGGGCCTAGGTCAAGTCTCCAGAAAAGCCACCACAATAAAATAGTAAAACGCAAGGGCCGATTTGATACTTGGTTGATAAGGGTTTCAAGAGCGACCATAGTACCTAGAAGACCGTAGAGGCCCGTATTTCCTCTTTATTTTTGTCCCATTTCGTGTTCCTTCTGTCTGGACCTGGACATGATATCTCTAATCCGAAAATCTCATGCTTCTTGGCGGTTTGGAATCTCTCTGATCTAAAAGCGTGAGCAAAGTCGCAATACGCCCCCCCGGTGTGAGGTGGTTGAGACGCTCGGATGTTCCCCCCCATCCATCTGTTGCAGAACAATCAAGCGCGATAAGGTGGAAAGCGGAGCAGTTCGCATACAAACACCCTTCAGCATATCAAAATTTAGATCTCTTGGCTGGCGAAGTATGTTTTGGAAACCAAAATACAACACCATCCCCGGCCCCGCGCGCGAGTTTACTCGCTACCTTCATTACCCGACCTAGGTTGTTGATACCCACCGGCAAAGAGTCTCCAAGAGTCGAGAACAAGCGCAACTTTTGAACAACAGATACGGATATAGCAATAGCACATCATTTTGCCCGTGCATGTGTCATGGCTCTTTTTTCTTCCACTGAGTGTCTCTGAGAAAAGCCAGATCCCGGCATTTCCTATTTTGTGCAATGCTTGTTCTGGACCTGTGACTTTTTTCGCCCACCCCATCTCGACCACGCTCTCCTCTGACGATGGCGTTACCGTACCATGTGTGCGTCTGCGTCTGTGTCTGCGCCTGCGTCGTCCAAACACACTCGTCCTTTTGCCCAGACGGCTGATCCGGGAGATGCACCCTCGGTGCGACGCGCGCCACACGCAGTACACAGGTTCCCACGTCTCGACAGAAATGCGATAGACAGCGTGCGGTACGATACGATGCGATGACCTTGTTGTCCCTTCCCCTCCTTCTCCCTCCATGTCCATGTCAATGTCCATGTCCATGTCTCCCCTTCCCGGTTCCCCTTCTTCCCTGCCCCCGCCAGTGCCATCTGCGACCGAGGACCCCCAGTATCAACCTTTTTTTTTGTGAGCAACCCGGCTTGAGACGGCACCAGCCCACCGCGTGACCGGCAAGCTACCTGCCTGTCACCTTACCTTCGACTCTGGCATTTGCCCGTGGGCCGGGTGGAAGGGGTGGTGGTGGTCTGCGACCAGGTCAGCCAAGCTCCTCCCCTCCCGTATCCTCCGAACATCCAAACTTATAAAGTTGGACGACCGTCTCCCCCTTCCTTCTTCATCTCCCCTTCTGTCTGTATCCCAACGCTCTCATCCTTCCTTGACTCTTTACCGACCTTCTCATATCCAACATCAAAAGTCTCAGTCTCTTGTTAAGCAGTTGATCTGTTTTTTTCCCCCCCCACAAGCCGATTGCCAACTCTCGCAACCAACTCTTCCAAAACACCAAAAACCAAAAACCAGCAAAAATGTCTTCTCCCGTCGACAACTCCGTCTTCCTCTCCCTCGCCCCCACCACCTCGTCCTCCTACCCCTTCAGACAGCAACAGACCGCCGCCGTCGCAGTCACCGCCGCCGAGCCGGCGCCCCTCAAGCGCCGCACCTCGAGCATGAGCAGTGACGGCGCCGCCACCGGCCTTCGCTTCCTTAAGCTTGGTCCCGTTCACTACGGCGAGCACCCCGACGAGCACAAGTCTGACTGGCACCCTGCTCTCCTGGGCTAGATTTGATGACGACTTTCTCTCCTTTTTTTGAATTGGGGGTTTTTCTTTTTCAACATCATTGAAGCAAGCCAAAGTCATGAAATTTTTTGTCATCACACACCATCAAAGTCTGGATACCAAAGGGGTGCGGGAAACCACAAGGCAGTTTGTGCGCAAAAAAACAAGCGATTAGACGAGCAGGGAAGCTCAAGGAGGATGAGCGATAGGCGCTGGATCTTTTATTTTATTTTATTACATCAACCGAGCGAAATCATCGAGTACATCATCACCTGAAGAAAGTAAGGGCAGATTGTCTCTCTGGTCGTTTATCATAGAGTCTTGGGGGGAACGGGTATGGGACAAAGGAACCAAATCAGAAAGAAAGAAAAAAAAAACAGGTATCGTCTTTTTTCATCACAGAAGAGGAGGGGGAAAAAATACCAAATTGGAGTTTCCGACGGCCAAAAAAGTCATCGTATGAATATTTGTGATGTCTGCATGTGCTGAGAATCCTATTATGTGAGTCTGGTACGATACCAAAGAGCCACTTTGACCGGTCCGGTCTCGTACTAGGTACATATACAAGTCGGCAACAAGCGGATGAAGAAAAAATTCGGCATGCAAAGGTGGTGGTGGGTGGTGTGGTGGGTTGGCACATCACATCAGTCTCCTTTGGGCTGTGCCACATTCTCAGGAGCCTACGAGTACATCACACATTGCCGGGCTACGCGGATCAAGGGAAGGAGGGACTTTGAGGAGCGAACGATGACGAAGGCAACAGAACGGGGAGCGAGAGCGACATGGAGAGGGGGGGGGACCCAAACTCTCCGAGACTTTTGTGCTTTCCCTGCTGCAGGTTGCTTGGAAATACAGTTAGTGCAACCTACCTGTCTTCACGAGCACTTACAAGTTTGCAGACAGAGAAGGAGAAAGACTGGGAGAGAGCACCAGCAAAGAGGGGAGGGTAAATGAGCAAGACGGTAAAGACCAAGCTTCTGTGATGTGGGCCGGCTTCATGCAATGATCTGACATGCTAAACCGTCCACCCCGCTGATCAAAGTGGGATAAGACTGACTGACTGGGGGGGGGGGAGAGATTTGGGCGCGGAATGCCGTAGAACGCGTCGTGTCTTGTTAATCCGGGCTGGCGGATTGGGAGCTGATTGCTGATCGTGTAAAAGAAAAGAAAAGAAAAAAAAAGACACAAGTCTAGGGAGGAGGGGTCGGAGGCACAAGGAGAGATACAGAGACAGCAGCTCAGCGTCAACCGCTTTCAAAAGGGTGTGGGGTGATGCTGTTGATTGGAGTAAGCCGGAACGACTTTGCCTTGATTTTTTGTTTATTTTTTGCGACTTTCGTGACGCTTGCGTTTTGTTCGTCCGCTGTCATTCCACGTAACGCAAACGTTGTTGCTATCGAGTGTCTCTGGCTGTTCGTACTTGGACTGTGTTTGTCAGGATGAGAAAGATGGCGAGTGGAATGGAGGGGGAGGAGGGGGGAACAAGCTCGCTGCTTCACCGAGGGTTCGGTTCAAGATTGCCTGGTAGGTAGGCGGGGGGGGAGACATCTGCTTTCGACGAGACGCACGTGGGGTAGAGACTGGGTATCACGACCGGGGGGTGTATTGATTTCTAGTCTATGCCGAGGCTGGGCGGGTTCGATAGTTTCAAAACTAGTTTTCCCTCTCTTTCTCTCTTTGACTCTTCTCAAATTGCACGATATGCTATTTGCTTGGTGCTGTTGTTGTGGGTGTAATTATGACGTGCAACTTGTGCGTGGATACGGAGTAGAGAGGGTTGTATTAAAGTCTTGTCTAGTCTAGAGTTTCTTTGTGGAGGGGGGAAGGGAGGGGAGGTTGATGGCAGTTGGAGTTTAATCGCAGTCGCGCAAGAGACTCGGACTTGGCTCGCAAACTCCAATGGGAGGGGTCCTTCCTGTACTGTGCAGTATAATGCCAGATACAACTGAGAGAGTTTCGGAGACGACTCTGGCACTTATGCAGACGTCATATCCGCGGTTCGCCCATCTGCGAGTCAAGCTCTTATCTTGCGTGACCGAGTCGGGGGTTTTTACCTTGCTCTACCTACCTTGGGTATGTCTTTCGTTCTGGCTGGATTGTTTGGGACGCACGCCCATCTGCCTTAACCCCCCCCCCTTTCGGAATACGCACACGCACGTCTTTTTGACCAGCGACTTTTGTTTTGTTTGCCGACTTTCTGCTCAATCTCCGACACGCTGGTCACTTGTCACTAGTTGTCAGGTAAATGAAGGAAGCCAGAGGAAAAAGGTTTAGGTGGCCGTGGGTGGGACAAGAAGGAAGATCGACGGGGCCCGTTGCATCTGGCATGTGACCGCCCTTGGCAGGCCTGCCGAGCCTCCAACCCTGCTTCGCAATTACCGCTTCTGGAAAGCCCTTGGGCTTCAACTCGATACAACCGCGACTGAGTCGAGTTGCGGGTCGGCACCAAGGCGGCCGTAGACGAGAGAGAGGAGAGAGAGAGAAAGGGCGACGGCTCTACGGATTTCCGTGGGTGATACAATATGAGCCTCTGTTGACGTCACGGAGGATGATGAGACGAGTTATGTGGCTGCTTGCTTATCCAGACATGTGCTCGTGCCTACTGACATGTGGCATCTTACCTGGCACTTGGGTTCTATTCCAAGGAGCCCCTTGAACGAGCGCAGAGATGCTGAAAGGAAGCATGCAATTTGCAAGTCGAAGAAGGGGGCTTCCACGATACCTGAGATGCGGAACCGGGGGGCACAAGGCAACGTGGGCAAGGCCAGGCAAACTCGAGTGGCGGGCGGGCCGGGCCCGGTCCTCCGACACGCGCCAAGATTGGACGGGACGGAAAAGATGTGCAATGCCGGCCGCTTGTCGTCCCAACTCTTACCGTGCCTCCTTGTCTGATGATATATATCGAAATAGTACGGAGGTGCGTCTCAATAGTCCTTGCAGTTGCTGCCAAGACCAACCCCTGCCATAGACAGGGGAGTCGACAAGGGGCTGGCTAGGGTGTGTACAAGCGGCAGAATTCGGCCACTTCCACCCACTGTAATTATCGTCAATTCAGCGGTAAAAAGTCGTCAATTGAGGTCAATTAGTGGTCGTTTGACGGTATAATCCAGCCCGACGACCCTCTTTGTATTCATTGCCGCCCTCTAGGGCAATTATCTGTTGGATGTGGTGAGGTACCCTTTCTATCCATTTCTGGATCTCCTCTTGCGGTAATGCTTTCCAGCACTCTTGCCAGCGACGTACTGCTTCGGCCCGTGACGAAGGCGCCCCCTTCCTGGTGGTCCATCTCTTCATCCACGGCCAGCAAGGTTCAATGGGATTGAGGTCGGGCGAATTACCCGGCCAGAGAAGCTTCGTAATCTCGAAAAGGCTGTACGTATAGTGGGTGAAGTGATGGTCGTGAGCGGGTGCCTTGTCCTCTTGTACGATTGGATTACCAGGTAATCCTTTGATATAAGGGAATAATTTGGGTAATAGGATCTCTTTGCGGTATCTGTACCAGTCAATTCCGCCCTTGCCGTTCCGTATTAACTTGCCCGACTTCGCATTCCAATTGAATTGGGGCTTACGGCCCGGTTGGTTCCGTAAGCCCATTCGCTCCATACCACTCTCGAGCTCCCACTGTTGACGTCGAACGGGCTCGAGCTCTGCGTTAAGCTCGGTAATCACTGCGTCGGCAGCCTTCCTCTCAGCAGCAGTCTCGGGAATCCAACAGTGGCACGGCCCTTTCGAATCGTATGAGAAAGACCCCCAAAACATGAATTCGGAATAACCCTTCCACCTCTCTCGTATGCACTGCCTAGAGTAGGCCTCGTCTGGGCGACGCCAGAGCTTATAGCTACCGCGGCGGTGGTTGAGGGCAACCGCGGTCTCGTCTGACCATACAACCCGCTTCCAATCGTCGAGGGTCCAGTATTGGTGGTCGAGGCACCACTTAAGTCGCTCTTGCCGCATCCTTTTCGTTAAGCCTGGCTTGCGGGTTGGTTTGGTCTTGTGGAAGCCATAGCGACGAAGGATTCGCCAAACAGTCATTGCAGATACGTCAACGCCCTCGTCCCTTAATAGGTCCCCAGCAATATCAGTACAGTTCTTTTCACGCCCATACCGGTCGCGGCAGACCTTGCGGATGACGGCATCGTTGACCTCTTTCGTCTGTTTGGTTGGACGGCCACTTCGGGGGGCATCTTCGTAATGGGCGGGCTCAATCGAGAAGGTAGGAGCAGTTGGGTCGAATCCGTTCTTTTTTGCGCGGGCAAGAACGTCGTAAACAGTTCGAACTGGAATTTCTAGAGCCTGAGAGACCTGTTCAGCAGTCCACCCAACAAGTCGACTTCGTAGAGCAAGAATCACTGCCCTGACGCCTGGATCTAGCTTCTTCTTTGTCGGCATCTCAGGATCCATACTGAGGAAAAAAGAGCAGCGTAGTAAGTAGCGATTTGGCGGTTTTGATATTATCGTAGGATTAGTGGTAGTATCGTAATGGCGGTGTATGGGGTAAAATCGTTGCTATGGGCAGTGCTGGGGGGAAAGTAAGTAAAGTGGGTCAAGATCAATCCCTAGGCTCTTATTGGTTCAGATGGGCAGTAATTGTGGGTCTGGGGCTTGGCAGCGACTGCAAGGACTATTGAGACGCACCTCCGTACAGGAGCAAGCGTTTAGTGCACGATAGTCCGTCCGTACATACGGTTACAGCCGATGGATTTGAACCTAAGCTGAAGCGTGAAGGCAGAAAAGACGCTACAACCACTGATCATGGCTCCCCGGAACAGCAGCCGATTCGTGAGGTTTCACGCCAAGCTGACTTATTGTTCGAGCCACCAAGACAATTGGGGCCCCAAACACTGAGTACCTAAAAAATATCACCGCGAGCGTGGGGGGTCTTTTTGGGGGGGGGGTAGATGCGTTGCTGATCCACAAGGTTTTGAAGCAATCTATCTTCTTGGCGGTTTGGATGCGCTGGCCTCTGCGCAACGGTCCTTGCGGTGCGACAAAGGGGAGGGGACTTGGGGACTCGGGGAGGGAGCATTGGAGGATCTTTGTTTCTATGTAAAGATCTTCCCGTCTTGGGGGGGAGAGATAACGTAGCATTCGGACACGGCGTGAGGCTCACGCCCTCGTTTCGGGGGCCATTCTTAGACCTGAGGCAGGGGGGGGAAGGGGAAGAAGTGGCCCGTGGCCAATGCAATGGACGAAATAGCCCGTCCCGGGAATATTGACGGCCCCACTCAGGGCGACCCCCGGGGCCGGGGCTTGGGGCTTGGGGCTTGGGGCCGGAGCCGGAGCCGTCGGTTAAATCAATGGAACATAGTGTCCGTAAACAAGCCATCTCACCAGGGCACTGGCCAATGCGGCGAATAGTCTAACAACCCTTACCAAGAATTTATTGGCACTTCTCGAGCCACAATGATGAAGAAGGGCTAATCTTCACTATAATGCATGGAGAGTCAGTCGCAACGTTACCATCCAATCCCTCCCTACCTGCTAAAGTAGATGCCCTTGATGGTGATGTAGAACAGATGATAACAACCAGTTCTCTGTGACCTGCCCTTCTCAGATGCCAGAATTTCAATCAGAACCAACACGGTCTATCGCCAGTCATGTAAGGCTCGCAGGTACCCCTCATGAAGGAACTAAACTTCAGTCAACTACGTAGGTGGACCAGATCGACGTCGCAGGTCCCACGTACTCTGGAAGTTTCCTTAGGGCGGTTGTCATTGCCTCAAACTAAGCGAAGCCGAAGCAATGCAAACTATCAACGTTTCGATGCCCCTCATACCTCTCTACTTCAATGTGAATGCCGGATGAGCGAATTTCCTCGGATTTTTCAAAGAATCCCTTGATACACCTACTTTGCTTCATGTAGTCAACGACAAGGCCAGAGTATCCAAATAACAGCGAGGCAAGGTAGTAAGGAGGGTCAAACTCTCCTATGTCGTCCAGTTAAGACAAGTGGCTTCTCTGCGTACATGCTCACATCCCAGAGACATATTGAAGGTATGGGTGAGTGCATCGAGAAAACATCCTGGTATCCCCAAGAAGCAGAGTGGCAGCCGAAATTTTCACCTGTCCTCTAAAGTATATCCTTGCCTACTCACCGCGCGAGGCTGACTAATTATATAACCGTTTTCGATTAATCGTCACCATGTGCTCGATCTGGTATGAATATACTCCGGCGAATGCTGGCAACCGGAGGAGAGGTGAAGACTGAGGTATTGAACCCTAGGCAATAGTCTCGTTTA